AAACATGAGATGTACTTCATGTTTCACAGGGCTGCATAGAGTCCTGTGGAAACTCTTTTTCACATGACTGTGGAAGAAAATGAGCAGATCAGTCATTTTAATCATTGTTGATTATTCGTACAAATAATGGATAGAATGGCACCAGAAATAATTCTGCTTTATTGTTTTGTCATGGTTTGGAGAAAAAAAACACATGTCATTGAAATGTATTTTTGTTGATAAGGTATTTATGATCTTGACCACAGAAAAACATCAGCATTGTTAAAAGTCGTTGCTGAAAGTCAAACTGTGTGTTGAGTACTGCACTAGCCACTCAACCACCATTAACAGTTTCTGTACTGTGTCGAGCATTTTGACTTTCTATTGTGTAGTTTCACTCTGTTGTTGAAGTATTTTTTTCTGCCATTTGGATTTTTTTAACCTTCCCTTTACATCCAGAGTCATATATACAGTCAGTATTTCACATCACTTATCACAGTCATATAACGCTGTATAAAACCAAATGAAAATGCGTTTACAGAGAAGCTCGGAAAAGCTATTCAGCATTGTTTCCAGGTTGTGGATTGTCAGCAGTTTTAAAATGCTCTCCACTGAGCATGACTGGCTGGCTTACAAAGACTGAGTATGCTTGTTGGGTTTTCATTAAAGAAAAGGCCACCACCAACCTACCTGATGCAGATGCAGAAACGTTAGAAGTGCTTTAGTTTCATTTGCATATGTATAACTAAAAGAACAAATACAGCTGATCTGCGTGACACAGACTCTGTTAGGCTTGGACAGAAAGTAGCAGTGATGCTAACACCGAGGCTTTGCTGTGAAAGAGGTGGAATCTAAGTTTTATTAGCTGAACAAAAATGCTTAAAGAGAAAAAGTAAATGTTGTTGCTCTAGGGTCAATGTGTAGTATACCTTATATCTGACAGACAGGCATAAAATGGGAAAGTTTCCAACATATCAGCACAGTAAGGCTACAAAAAGTACAATAACTTTGGAAAAGTAAGTGTTTTCACTTGTGCCTGTCTTCATTGTAGGCGTGTAACTGCATCTCTGAACAACCTTGTAGTTACAGCCGCTGAAGTGACCTCAGCATGACATCATCATGCTCAGTTCAGTCAGTTTGCAAATAGAAAAAAATAGCCCAAAGCAAAATATAAAATTGCAATCATGACAATGTTACAAAAACATAGAAGTTAAAAGGGATTGTGTCATTTGTATTCGACTGCATTTTTTCTTTAACAAGTCAAGTATTTTAATTTTTATTTAGTGTTTTTTCTATTTTATTTTATTATTTTTTGTGCAGCTTTTTACTGATAGAGTGGATAAAAAATACCAGTCTTGGATTTGCTCCAGACCTCAAAATTGGAAAGTGTTACTAGTGTTCAACTAGTGTTGACACAGTAGATGACCTCCTATAGAGCATCTTGGTTCAATCCCTGGCTGCTCCAGTTTGCATGCCAAAGTACCCTTGGGCAAGATACAGAACGTCGAGTTGCTCTTGACGTGTTCTTCAGATAGAAAGCACTTAGGCATAGAAATAAGTGCATGTGTGAATGAGGCTTGTAGTATAAAGCGCTTTGAGTCCTCAAGGAGAATAGAAAAGTGTCGTAGAAGAACTAGTCCATTTGATGCATGTGAGTTCCATACTGTTTCAGATTTTACGGTATAAGTAATCACTTGATTGCTGGATTGAGTGTCAAAGATCACATGACTTTTAGTGTAAAAAAGAAAGAAAAGGAGTGTAGGGATTTATGCATATTTCACCCCTGGCAGGCAAAGCTGATGACCAATTAAAATATATATTTGGTAGAAATTGACCATGAACTCTTTGCTCCTTTCTTGACTTTTTTTAAAGCTCCCCTTAATAAAAAATGACTTTCTAAAACATTCTAAGATAAGATAAGATAAGATAAGATAGAACTTTATTAATCCCTCGGGTGGGTTCCTCTGGGAAATTCGACTTCCAAAAAAAGCACAGCAACGACCGAAGTTACAGTTACAGAATTGTTATATATATATATATATATATATATATATATATATATATATATACACACACACACACACAAATAAAATATACAAAGGGGATAAATAGAATAAATAGGAATAAAAAATAAAAATAGAAGTGAATTGCACATTTCAAGTATTGAGTCTATTGCACTGTTGACTATTTACAAAAAGTATTGCACAAGGTATTGTACAGTGAGGTGAAGAGGCACTACAGCTTAGTTGTTCCCCCTCCTTTGTCCTCCTGTTTCCCCTCCCTCTCCCCTCCAGAGAGGAGTTAAACAGTTTGATGGCATGTGGGACAAAGGAGTTTTTAAGTCTGTTAGTTCTTGTCTTGGGGAGAAGCAACCTGTCACTGAACAGACTCTTCTGATTGTTTATGGCCGTGTGCAGAGGATGCCCAGCATTGTTCATAATGTCCAGCAGTTTCTTTAATGTCCTTTTCTCTGCCACTGTCACCAGAGTGTCCAGCTTCATGCCGACCACAGAGCTAGCCCTCCTGATCAGTTTCTCCAGCCTGGATGAGTCCTTCTTTGCTGTGCTGCTCCCCCAGCACACCACAGCATAGAAAAGTACTCCAGCAACCACTGACTGGTAAAACATCCTCAGGAGCTTCCTGCAGATGTTAAAAGACCTCAGCCTCCTGAGGAAGTACAGTCGGCTTTGGGCTTTTTTATACAGGTGCTCTGTGTTGCATGACCAGTCCAGTTTATTGTCCACCCACAGCCCGAGGTACTTGTACTTGTTGACCACCTCCACCTCCTCCCCCTCTATCTGAACCGGCAGTGGACCTTCTCTGGACCTCCCGAAGTCCACAACCAGTTCCTCTAAGACAACAGCTCTAAATCCATATCAAATAAATCTATGTACTGTGTTACAGAGTACTTTCTAATGAAGCTGAAATAAAGCCAAATTGCATAATGCCGCTTTCAATCACGAATTGTAGCAAGTCAATGTAGCATGCAGTCTGCACTCAGTGACATGACACATTCCAAGGTAACTCGAGCTGGTGTTACGTGAACATTTGTGCAGAATTCATGTTGTAAACAACGTAGCCAAACTACTATTTTGACAGAAGAGCACAGAATATGGTTTTAACTTGATTTTGAATGTCAGAAGCAAGTGGAGACTTCACAAAAACCTTCTGCTGAAGTACTGCCACTTTGTAGTGAAAGGTTGTATTTTTTTTTATTATATTACCAAAATTACCTTTTAAAGGCTGAAACTAATATTTTTAACTTAAACCACAAATGTTCTAACCTGCTGTAGGACTCTGGCACTAAAAGTACACCGTTAACAAACGTATTTTGTCATTTAGTCAGTTAATTTAGATAGTTCACTACACATGACAGAGCCCCTGCTCTCTGCTCACTCCTCATTTATTTTTTTGCCTTTTTCTCATTGTTATGGAAATGAAGATGACACCAGGTTTGCCCTTGTGCAGAAATAATTTTTCAAGAGATGCAGATGTATGCTATGAAATTGAGATAAATGCATTATGAAATATTACCTGATGTCAAGAAGAACAAGTGAGTATATGTTACAGCAGGCATGGACATATATCATATATCTTCCTCTACGTCTGCACTCCAGATAAGGAAACAGTATGTTTTTTGTGTTGTCAACAAGCAAAAGGCTCTCCTTAAGCCTTCTTGTAGAGCCAAAACAAACAGCACCAGAAACATGACAGCTCATTATGCTCCAGGTTCTAACAGGATTGACCTTTTCCAGACCTCCCCAAAATGGTAGAACCTCACCAAATAAGTGGGTTACCTCCAAAAATCCATTACAGCCACTATCCTTCTCATCGCCCACAAGCTCCCTAAATGAAGCCATTTTCTTAGCACACCTTGTCAGCTACCCGAGGTGTTTGTTTTTTTTTTGTTTAGGTTTTTTTGCAATTCTCTGCACCATAGTTTTTATCTTCTCTTTCTATTTGTTTTGGTAAAAAAGCTCTAGATGTCTTAAACAGGCACAAGATATTCTGAGGATTGATGTGATTGTTATAAAAATTTATGAATTTCATGTACTGACTGACTCAATCTTCCACTCTTATGTTTTTGTGTTATTTTTTTAAAGCAAATATGGTAGAAACGTGTAGGAATAATAATAATAATAAAAAAACAACAACATCAAAAACGGTTATGCAACACTTTACCTCCCATCTCCCAGTACTGTGTATGAAAAGTCATCTGAATGTGACCAAGTCCTCTGAAAAAGCGATTTTCGAAACCACGGGGATGAGCCCGCATGTGGTCTGTCCACAGGCAGTGAAGGACAGATAGAGACAGAGGAAAGATGAGTGGGAGAGGAGCTGACCCTTAATATTCTATGTGAGTAATTTCTTTAAGAAGACTTCTGTGATATTACAACAATAGCATCTTAAGTACTACTACACTCAACTCTATGCCAGACAAAGGCTATTTACACCAAAAGAGAGGCTGTCATTGAGGATGTTACTTTTTGGTTTGAAAAAAATAAATAAAGATTTGCTCATTTATTACAAAAAAATCTCTATCTTACCTAGAAACCTTAACAAAACTGGTTTAAAAATGGTTTTACAGGGAGATGGGTGAGGGTTAGAGGCTATGCATGAGTTACTGTAAAGCAGCAGCACCGTGGTTTTAAGAACTGTGCATATTTTAAATCAGAAAAGAACAAATATAGGAGGAACGAGGAACATTCTGTTTATTTCATTGAAGGGTTTTTTCCCCCTGGCGGTTTGTGTAATTAAATGTTCCATTTGCTTATCGGACTAAACAAGGTGTTTTGATGTGTTTTATATTCCAAACCACTCATTATTTGAGCAGTCGCACAAATATTTTTGCTGGGTCCATCAGTTTCCTTTCCTTGAGAGTTAAGATTTATAACATTACATTAGAGCGGCATCAAGATTCGCCATTAACATGAACATGAATGAATCTATTTTGTAGATATTAACAATGACACAGGTTACTAGGGCCAATATGTTAATGTGAATGTCTCTTATTTCAGCAGATCGCCAGTGCTCTGGCAATAGCAAAGCATGTGACCAGCACTTGGAGGCTATCCCAGAGTTTACGTGGAGTATTGTGGCTGCAGGGGACCTGCGTGACGAGAGAAATGAGAAAAGTGTTAAGAAGTCAGGAAGTCCCCAGGGTTGGGAGGAAGGTAAGAACGAAGGTATCACCTTCCCCCGTCGCAGGGGAATTTCATTTTTCAACAAACTTTATCTAGCTGTCTACTTTTGGCTCATGTTTAACATCATAAACAACATGTAATTATCCACCTTTAATTATGGGTTTTGTTTGTTATGAATGACATGTATCCTTAGATTTTTACTGGAATCTTCCTTTAAACGGGTACCTAAACGATCTCACTTTGAATCTTATATTTTAAACCCAACAAATAAGTGGTGCAAAAAGCAGAGTACACTTCACTGAGCCTGTATTCAGCGACATCTTGTAGGCTCTTGCCTTCAAATCTTCCATATCCTCCGGCATCATTCATTTTCATACCTTGGAAGATGAGAAAACAGTTTCTTTCATCTTATCTCCTGAGGTGATGGTGAAATGGAGGGAGGCAGAAGTGTCTATTTATTTCCTTAAATGTTTTTTTTTTTCTATGATGAGCTACAAGTCTGAGACCAGATGGGTGGACCGTTGGATGAAATTGGAAAAGTGAAATGTATTGACTCATAAAAGGAAGCAGTAAGAGTGAGTGGACTATAGAAATGATTGATGTCTGTCTTGTACATCTAGCTTAAGCTGTAAATGAAGGCAGAGGGTGCATGAGTGCATGTGTTGGTTAAAGCTAGAGTTGGTATAGTAGAAACGGGACAAGACGGTGAATAAAAATAACACTGGGTTCTTTGATATCTGTTACTGGTAAACCAGGACTAATTACTGTGTATCATTTGGCAAATAAATCATTAATACTGTCAGTGGTTTGATGCATATTTATCCAGATGCATGCCTGAGTTACAGTTTTTTGCACAGGTTAATGGAACAATACTAATTAATTAATTACTAATACTGTAAAAACCAGCAACCGGCTCTGCAAATCCTTTTCACCTTACTCAACTAATCAGAAGACACTTAAACAAAGTTTGTCAAATGAGAGTAGGATATAGTTTATTAACGTACATATTACTTTACTATTTTTATTTCATTCAATGCTTTTAAAAGGATAGTGATGTTGTGAGATGATGGTCACATTTTTATTCACATTAATAACGCTTGTAAAAAATGATGGTAATTTCAATAATTGGATCTTTGATTTCATATTTTTAGAATTACAAACTTATTTACAGATAAAATATAGAAATATAGAATATAGAAACTGTGATTTTTAGGTTAAATAATCTTTTCTAAAATATTTCTTTACTCAGCTTTGAAATAAATATTTGACCAACATACAAACTGAAAGTACTTTAAAAGAAAGAAGGAATCAAAACTAAATTTACACACTGAATTTAGGAATTCCAGTTTTTCAGTTCAAAATGTGTGCTGTCACTGTGATACTAATTTACTGTTTATTTTTGATACTTGCAATACAGCAGGTGAAGCCCTGTTAACGTTCACCAACCAGGATTTTCTTTAATAGATTTTTAATAGGCCTAGATTATAAAACATATCACCAAAACATGGTTTTCATCCTTCCTGGAATGATTCTTTTTAAGTTAACTTTAAAGATCAGTGGGATTAAATTAAAAACGTATATGATACGCCTCAGTATAATTAATGGGACATCAGATCTTTGTAGCGGTCTTTATGACCCATTTAGCATCCAAAGCTAAGTTGTGCTTGCATGTACCAAAAGAAAACGGTAAACAAAGCTGATCGTGATTGAAGGAAGGCAATGCAGAGTACAAAGGAAATATATGTGCATAATCATGTTCAACCCCTCAGTTAGCCACAATGCAGTTGGCGTATTGTGAATAATTGAGCTGGGTGAGCTGCTGTCTCCACATATTTCACTGGCACTTTTTAAAAGAGATGGAAATAAGGGATGAATACTTAATGGCTATGATCTGTGGAATTGCAAGAGCTGTTTTCTACAGTACCTCATTCATCCACTGTAAGATGTTAAACTTCGAAGCTTGTAAACGCACAGCCTTTTATCCAGTGATGCTAGTATTTAGCTTTAAGTTGTTAAGAGACGAGATGAGGAAACACTGAGGTTATAAGCAGCCAAGGCCAGCAACCCTGAAAATATGGTTAATAATACTTTTCTATGTATATTCCAATGTGCTGTATACAGTGATAAATAATTAATGTTGTTTGTTGTGCAAAGAATAAAATAGAATAAAAAAAAATGATAATACTGCTAGAACATTCCTACTGTGACTGCAGACTTCACTTTACATCACATCATTACAGGAATGCCCACATGGAGGACGAAACGAGCCTTTCCTACATCTTACACATTTGTTTAGCCAAACTATCAATTGAATTTTATATATACCTACATATTTAAAACTGACTCCAATATCAATGTGAAGTACATTTTTGAACCTGGCCTATGCGTTATTTTCATAAGCACTTATCCAATTTAGGGTTTAGGAGGGGAGTGTTGGGGTTTGAGCCTAACCCAGCTGTCATGGGGTGAGAGGTGGGGTACACCCTGAGCACATCGCCAGTCCATGACATTACTAACACAGAGAAACGGATGTCCACTCACACTCACATGATGCTTTCTGTCAATTTAAAATGACAAATTAACCCAATTCCAATTTGGAATGTGGAAGGATACTTGAATAGCCAGAGGGTAACCCTGTGCAGGATACGCTCTGTGCAACTAAAGGCCACAGCTGGCCAGGATGTCCAGTTGGGAATGTACTTGCTGTAAGGCATTGATGCTAACCACCACACCACTGTGAAACCGACCATTAAAGGCTAACTGATGAGTTAGCCTTTGAGGCTAACTAACTAGAATTCTTTGTTTATTTGACAATGCAGATACATTTAATTTACCTCCCAAAAAACAGAATTATTGACACATTCAGTTCAGAATACATAGATCTGTCTGCACTTTTTTTTTTATCCTGGTGACAGTTTAATGGTAAAATTGTTCACAAGATAGTATTGGAAAACATTGCTGGTGTGTTGCTCTGACAGGAACATCTCTGGCTTTTAGTTATAGAAATACTCTGGTGGGCGTTGTGTAAATGGCAAGTGCCCAAAACTTGTGGTTTGTTCACTTGTCTTTCTTTTTCTGCTTTTGAGAGGTGATCTAAATATTTTTGACTTGAAACAAATGAAAAACTGACAGCTCTGTGTCTCAGTTCTGTGGAGAGGCCAGTGTGATGGAAGGGTGTCTGAATCTTGCTTTGCATTGTAGTTTGTGCTGGGCTTCGGTGGAGAGTGGCCCCTTTTTCCATTTTGGTAAATTTGTGAAACGAAACGTGGCTTAAATGCGCAAATAGTCATTATCATTATGTTACTCACCATCAGTGGGATGTGAGTCAAGAACACAGTGCACCCTGCTCCTCCCCTGAGGCGTCAGTGTGGGCCACATAACAGCATTATGAGGCAATAGCACACTTGGCAGGGCAGTCGAGATAAAAGACAATCCTTCAAATACAGATCAAGAAAAATCTGCACTAATCATGGATTGGTTTGACACATTAGCTCTTTCTGTTGTGAGAAGGCAAAGGAAAGTGTTTTTGCACAGTGGATGGTTAACAAGTCCTGACATGCAGCAGCAACTGTGGAGAGAGGTAAAGCCACAGGTATTTACATCCACTCAGTCAAACCATACAAAATTCTCTCCACCAAATGCTTCTTCTGTGACGCTAATTGGGTTGATTGAAAATGAGTCACCTCTGTAGCGCACTATACAGATTTTAAATCGAGACCCTTTTAGAAGAGGCGAAACGAAGACAAAAATGATTTGAATGCCTCCCCTTTCTGTGCAGAGTGGCTCGTCTCAATTCCATGTCTGCTCCCAATGTCTCCTGCCAAAGAAAGTGTGAATATGATTACACATTGATTTCTCGCTCTCTCACACAGAATAGAGAAACATGAGTTGGAGCTGTGAGCTGACTGGCAGGAGGAAATATCTGGTAGGACGCTGTTTGCTGGAGCAGCTGATTTGTTTGTTTGTAATAGAGTGGCCCTGAGGCTGTCTGTCATTTGCCAACTCTAGAAGTCATCTGAATTTCCTTAGCTGGGCTCGGCATTATAAGGTTCTGGATAAATGGGCAAAAATGTAGTGGGAGCTTGGCTCTGGCTTAGAGAAGCCAATGTCCTAATCTTATATAAAGGTAAAGGGAAACGCTGTCAGTGTACACTGATCACCCACAACACTAAAACCACCTACAGGTGAAGTGAATAACATTGATTATTATTTGACAATGGCAGCTGTCAAGAGGTGGGCAGAAAGTGTCGTGCTTTGACGTCAGTGTGTTGGAAGCAGTCATATCCTTAAGCTTGCCTATTTTCCCTGACTTTGACAAGGGCAAAATTTCCACGGTTAGATGACTTGGCAACTCCAAAATGGCAGGTGTAGCAGTTAATGGTAGTAGTGGGGCTTTGTTGCGTCTTACCTGTCAGCGTACCCACACTGACCTCTGTCCACAATAGTTTCTAGTAATCATCAAAGCTGTGCCATAGAGGAACAAAAAAACATTTCCTACCACCTTTGACCACCCTCAAGCAACTTTATTATAAAGTTCAAATGAGGGTTTTTTTGCTTTTCTCATTTTAGTGCTTGGTGTTCAGCTGCCGCGCTTCATTTGCATTACACTGAAACTCTTAATGATTTTGAAATACGAGCCTTCAAGCAGCAACCCCTCCATATCAAACTGTCTGGAAAACTCTCTTAGTGAATGCCATTGATGTGTTTTCTCCTTTAACACAATTAATCACAAAAGATTTATCTGAATACTGTTAAAACCTTGTTTTTAAAAGTAGTTAAGAGTAATTTACTAAAACTGTTGTTAATACATCTCCAAACTATAACTTAAAAATATGCAGAAGTAATTTTACTTAATGGATGGACAAGCCAGAATATGCCTGTTTAGTTTATTTAGGTCTGCTCAGTCAGAGAAACACTTTTCAGCTTGAAAACTCCAACATCAGAATATCAGTCTTTTTTTTTTTATCTTGGGGTAACTGTGAGAGCATGTACTTCCTTGAAACAAATTGAAGGTTTCAACAGAAGCAACAAAAACTGAAGTAGGAAACCCTTAGATTTATGGAGTTCACATAGTAGTATAGACTGCATTCTTTGGCAGTCCTCTAATGTCCAGTTTTGATGAAGACAACACGAGTTTGCTTCTGCTTGCTTGGTTCTGTCTTACATTTCTAAAGCCCAAACAGCTGATAAGTTACACACCCACCCACATCTATCAAGTTAACACTGGCGGGTTAACTTAAATTTAAAAAGAGCTTGAAAAAACATTCCCCTCTAAGGTACGAGGATGGGACTGAAAATGACTTAAAAAGCAGCCAATGTCCAAAGAATAACTTGAAATACCTTCATAAAGCCTGAAAAACAATTGGAATAAAAACTAGGTGAACGTCTGGCCTATCTTATGTAAAATATAGAGAAATTATGGGTTGCTCAAGACTTTTGCACAATTTAAGAACTCTAAGATTTAAGAAATCTAAAGAATAAATCAAAACATTCGGTTGAAAACTAACAGAAAAAATGAAGAACATGCTCATAATTCAAACAGAGGTCTGAAGAAGTAACAACGTAGCAAACAGCAAAAAGGTTCTGCCCATCTCAGACATAACCTCCAGAGTGGGTGTAGGATCTTTAAGGAAGCTTGTGTGCAAGAATATTGTTTTTCTGTATTTCATTTTCCTTGAAATTGTGTCTGTTTATTACATTAGACTGAAATGGATGAATGAAGTACTGGAAATAGTTTTGGTGATTTGCTGTGCAAAAAGACTGAATGGTAAAACTGACTGTAAAGTTTTATCCATTTCATTTATGTTTTCAAAGCTTACCTATAAGTTTTTTTAATTTTAATGGCTAAAGAGGTGTACAATGAAAGCTATTAAAAGACTTTGGAATTCAATTCAGTTATATTTGTATAGCACCAAATTAAATCAGTGGCCTTAATGTGCTTTATATTATAAGGTAAAAACCTCACAATAATACTGAGAACTAATACTGGCTGACCTTTGGGTGAAAGCGGCAATTTTGAGTGGCTGTATCTTTATAGTGGCTAAAATCTTGGTGCCTGACACCACAAGGCAACTCCATAGACATGAGAAGGGGGAACATAAGTAGCAATATACCTTTTCTTTTTACAATAAGATTGAAATCCTTCTGTATTGCTGCCTAGTTGAAGTTTTTTTTTGGTGATCCCAATGGTTGGCTTGCAATTGAGTCCTCACATTTTAGCAACAAGCTCTTTTGGCTTAGTTGCTAAATGTCTGTAAGCAATGTGGCAAAGGAAAGACAACAGCTTGAGGACATTTGAACATAACTGACCACAAACTTTAAAGTGCTTTTTGCAATGACTCAGTGAGGCCTACTGGGAATACCTTCCTGAGCCTCTTCATAAAGACCGAAAGCTCTGGGTTGACTCTGCTCCTTGCACAGTCTACCAGATAAGAAATAGTAAAGAATGGTGTGTGTGATCTTTTTTATTAGAAACTCCATATAAACTTTCTTAAAGTTTGATTTAAATTGAGCCAGAAAAAACTTGTTATTGCACAGTTGCTTTCACCTCTATCCAGTGAGATTGCATCTATACACATCAATGGTCCACTTGCCAGGCACATAGGAAAGCCACCCAATGCCTTTTTTCTGCACCCAGAGCCCTTCTTTTCTGAGCAAATAATTATGAACCATTACTTTGGATGAGAGGCAATTTGTTCTACTTATCCATTTTGTAGCTGAAATGTAATAGCCCTGGCATTTGAAGCAAGACTGTGCTTTGGGTTTGGCCCCTCCATCTGCAGCTTGACCTGTTAAGTATAGCAAAAACCAGGGCACATGAAAAAATGTCTGCCTCTGTGACGAGACACTTGGTCTATCAGACTTTTGTGTGGTTCTATCTAAAATTAAAGAAGAGCTCGGTGTTAAGGATTTAACGGTTTTCTTGCCAGTAAAAGTTCGCGTGACCAGGAAACTTAGATCACATAGTTTGCAGATTAAATCAATAGTGGGAATACTGTTTGTTAGACACTGACATTTCTGACCCATGACATTCTGTTCTTAATAAACCCTCCTTTAATGCATGTATGAAAAGACACATCCTGCCTTCTGAAAGTCAAAGAAGTGCAGAAAGGATGTGTCTGGGTTTTGTGTAGTACCATGGAAATGATCTTGACCTGTGCTCTGATTCGTGACACAATGGCAATCTCTTGGCTCTTAAGTTCATCTGGAATATACACACCTCAAACTGGTGGACGGTTTATTGTTGCATTTCAAAACTGAGGTAGTAACTATAAGAACTTTAAATACTTAAGGAAAATGACATTTTTGAAAGAGCATAGAAAGGAAACTACATTTTTTTCCCTTTCTATGGCTCTTTATCTTTCGACATCTAGTTTAGTTTTGGAATGGTATTCATTAATTTTAATAAAAACTTCATTAAAGAGAGCTTTTTTTTCCTCCAAGTTCCAAACTCCCACTAATCTCACAAAATCAGGGCATGCTATTAAAATGCAACTAACACCTGGGGAGCCAAGAGCATCTATAGATATAAACAGTTTAAGTTAAAAGTAATACAAGGCCACTTACTCATTTCCAGAGGGACCTTGGTGACATCAAATGAAATATATGAACCCAGCTTGCTTTATTCTCTAGACTCTATGCTTCATGTTGTGCACATAAACATTAATGAATAAATGGAGAATAAATAGGCAGTCAAAAAAGAGCACAAAGCACACTGTAGCAGGCTAATGTCAGAAGGAGCAGATTACCTTTTCTTATTTATAAATGTATAAAGTGAAAGGGAGAGTCAGACAGTGTGTGTATATATACAGAGAGAGAGTTAATGTATGTTAATGCTTCTTTTGTATTTGATATGAGATAACGAAGACACTCAACACTCTTCTCTGTATTCACACCTCACCTGTCACGAAAGCAGATGCATGTTTTAAGATTTAAATACAATTTTCTAAGGTGACTGGAACAGTAGAAAACCACTTTAAAGTGTGATAAACGGTAGAATGTTGAATAATGGATGTTTTATCTTTAGCAGCAGTACACTTCCAGGGTTTTGTACAGGTAGCTTTCACTGCCTAATAACTGAATCTGGATCGTTTGGTATAAACATACCAAACATAATAGACATGCTGGTCTACATTTGGAGAGAGATGATTACAGCATGAAGATCCAAGTGTGAAAACACTATCAGCTGTGAGGTACAGGTAGGCTAACTGAGCAAAACAAGAAAGGCAATGTGTGAAATGTAGAAGGCTTTTTTTGGATATAGGAGGGTAAACACAATGAAACATACAATAGGTGTGAGATACTGGCTCTGTATGTGAGTGCAAAATGGAAATCTGCCAAATCAAAGATGTGGAGCCATCTGCTGCGAAAATGGAAGCAGCTGAAAGAAGTTTCGTTTGTATTGTCATTATATGTCTGTATTTTGTTTTTCCACTTTGCCGTGATGTCACAGTCCTTAGGATTGGCTAGGGAACTCTGTTAAGTTGGAGAGAGGTCTTCCTCCCAGCCCCTCCAGTCCTTTCTGCCTGCTTCATTTTTAACCACCATGTTTTTCTATTTGATAACTCACTGCTAATGAGCTGCTAAAGATTAGACAAGGTTGTGTTTCTGTTTTCATCAATGAGTACACCTTGGGGGCTTTTATGGACCTAGAATTTACTGCGTCATCAAGCCCAGAGAGGCATTGAAATACCACTTTTTAAGTGTTAACCTTGAAGTCCTGGTTCACTGAGTATGCCGTTTCCCTTCTATCTTTACGTTCAAATATGTCCAACCCAACAATCGTTCCAGTCATTGTCAATATGGCAGCAAATGACCCACCTTCGACCCTGCTTCTATAATGAACTGCCCTGCTCTATAAAAGCAAGGTCAACAGAGTGTATCGGTGCTAGATTAAGCTCACCAATTTTTTTCCTTGACATGTTGTTTCAATAGAATATTCTTGCTCTGGCCAAGTTAATTACCTTGGCCCACTATAACATCAAAATTACCTCATCACCTCTTCATGGCTTTAAAATTGCTTGGCTGCCATGTGGGAAGCTGATATTTTTTGCAAAATGATTCGTAGAGTAATAGGCCTTATTACGTGTTAGTACTGTGAGGCGGAAAAAGGAAAAGAAACCTTAAACGTTGAAACATTCATGCACTCTTTGTTGACTTCTGTTGACTTCATCAGTTCCTCACTTAATCATAGGCTGGCACTCCTGGCAAACTATCTCCCTGGATAATAATTACCTGCATAAGCTAAGAAGATGCTGCCATTCTCTATTCTTTCACTCCTGCACGTTTAATGAACTACAGTTAAAAGACAAATAAAACACAAGAAAGCAATTACAAGTACAGCGTACCTTTCGAAGACAAAAAAAAAAGTCTCATTATCTCAGCATTCATTTTTATGTAATTAGGATACAGTCCATGGACTATCCAATTAGCATACTTATGTTGTGTGGCTGACATCCTGACGTGTGTTGTGTTGTGTTGTGTACGTATTTATAGGTATATTGTTTTGTAACTGAGCCTGTCTCCTGTGATTCTTATTATAAATGCCTTAAGGGACCAGAAGCCTCAAATTATCCAGCCAATCTATCTTTACTGCCCCTTGTGATACGCATTATAAACTTGTGATAATATGGTTGCTTTGACCGTTAAGTCAGTACATTGGCGGCAGTTATTTTAATACCACAACATTCAGAACACTGTGATTAATGGTAGCATGTTTAATGAGCATTAGAGAACCCCCCATTTTTCCAGTAGAAGTAAAAATCAGAGCCCCGTTAAATCAGTAAGTCCTCTATTTATTTGCTATAAAGTCAGAGAGGTTCTATGATATTAGGCTTACTTATTTTAACTGGCAGATGCTCCTCGTTTACCATTGAGTGGATCATCGATTCTTAAAAGTCAGATTGATTGGTTTCTTGAAGGCCGATGTCTTCCATACTCAATCCCATACCCATATCCTGCCTGCTGCCAAGATATCTGCGCTTACTCAATCAGTCTGCTTATTGATCCTGACCTGAACACGGGGAAAGCTGGCTCAGTCTCTCATTCATCCATTGAATTACCTGGACTTACATAAAATGTGCACTAGAGCTTTGCCAGTTTATACTGTTGAGGTAAACTGTGTGAGCAGCAGATGAGAAAACTTCCTGGAGGTCTGTGGTGAAATCATGTTGGGGTGTTAGATGGCTGTAGGGTTATTGCCAGAATTAATTTAGTCTTCCACCTGCACCGCAGCTGTATTACCTTTGATTAATTGAGCTTTCTTGATGGTGACTCCCCGAAGGCTTCACAGGTGTCTCGCTGAACAGTGTTCTAACTTTGCTCTAGTTCTCCTGCTGTTTCTTTTGAAGCATCTCACATCAGAGACCTTTCTACGTTTCCAAACTTGCTTGCAGGTCTCGTGCTTTTCACATATTTTCCCTTCTCATTTCGAAGCAAAGATTAAGACACATAAGCTCAGTGACAAATGTTACCCCTTGGCCTAGCTTATTCATCCCTGGTTTACTATCTTCAACAGCAAAATGTTGCACTCGTCTTACTCTAAAAATCGCAATAAAGCTTTAAAAAAAAATTATAAACTAGAGTGAAAATTCACTATCTCTACTTGTGTGTCACAAACTGTATATAGAAAAACGGGAAAAGAAGAAAAGATGCTGCCTTGTTTGGATGTCATCGTTTCATGATATTACAATCTGGTCCAAAGGTTTTTTGTTTGTTTTTTTCACATACTGAATGTGCCGATAAATTATGGTCTGTTTTTAGGCAGCACGGCAGTGTGATTTGAAACTGTTTGAATTCACTGACTTTTCTCTTTCCCTTCGCGGTGCAGAAAACAGTGTAATAACACCACTGATAAGGAATGCAGGGGAAGACAGATAACAGCCCCACAGACAAATGTTTCAAAACTAAGAGCAGATTTTATAAGTGATCAAGCTTGTAAAGAAGGTAAGATTAAATACAAAGACTGGAAAAATGAAAGAAAATGATTTTGACTACTGTTGAGTCTATCACATATAAGAATCAGTCCAGAAGCGAAGAAATAAATGTGCTGGTGAAGTGACCCATAGACGGAATAATTAAACATTGTACTATCAGTTTCAGCATAACGAATGCCTTTGTGACACCAGCCGGGCAGAAAGTAATTGTTTTAATAATAATATAAAAAAAAAAAATCTGTTGTTCAAAGGGCTCCAGTTTTAACATTTCAAACATTTTTGTCATTAACAAAATTAACACCCATACACACCCTTGTTAAAAGATCAAAATAGATACGGTTACAGCCAGGTTTCTTTGAGAAATAACCACCCTCACCACCAACAACTGCAGTTGGATGGTCTTTTATACTAACTTATAATTTTTATAATTAGGATTCTTGTGACTAACAGGTGTTTGGCAAAACAGGTTGAAGCAGCTGCCTCTGAGATTAAGACCTAATGTCTTATCTCATCTAATTGGGGTCACAAAGTCTTTTGGAGGATTTTTGTTTTCAGGAATTATCTGACAAATGGTTGCTGTGTGGTCAGTTGCACTGTGCTCCAGTTTAGATGAGTAAAATTGCACAGCAGCATTTTGTTTGTATGCTATTCATTTTTTAACTACTTAGCACTCAACCCGCTCAGCTAAATATGGCCCTTTCTGGCTCCACAGACTATGAACTGCAACTCATAATGATTTTAATTTCCTAGTGTACAATGACTAGTTTCTTTATTTGATTCTTCAGTTAGTATTTCTTGCTTGTTTTTAAAAGGTATTATATTTGTGTGAATCAGAGTCACCGTTATAATTTTTTTTTTACTTGTTTGTGTTAGCCTAAGCAAAGAGGGGATTAAAATTAGTTAACAGACAAAAGAACAACTCTTGACTTTAAAAATGCATTAAAACTGTGCTTCCCTCCTCTGACGAATTACTTTGTCATGGTTGAATTAATTAAAATCATGAGTTTGTGTGCATGCGCCTTTGTTTGTGTATGTGTACAGAAACGCATCTCATTTGTTATACTTCACTGGTTTGTTATTTACTGTCATCAAGTTCGCTAGAAAAAGTCAAATGCTGCTTAGAGACAGCTTTTCCAGCCTCTGAGCTCCTCTGCAGATTATGTATTAAACACCTAAATCAAAGCAAACTATGACGCATTGTTTGTGTTAAAGGGGCCATTCTCTGCAGTCACAAGCTCAGAGGAACACTATTTGTAAAGTATACTGAAGTCGAACTTGATAAGTTCTCTAGTTTTTCTGTGTTCATTGATCAGTCTCTTAGAAGTTATAATAATCCCACCTGCAGTAAAACCTTGTTAATTTACATACTCAACCGATGATTTAAAGCACATGCCGCATTCTTTAAAGGAGCCTTCTGGTTTATTTGACCATGGTGTATTTTCAGTTAATGTTGCTTATATAGAAGATAGAAGGTGTTCCCAATTTGCCTTGAAAAGCCTCTCTCGTCTCTCTTGCTACTTTTGGATCTGCAAGTCTTGTTCTGCTGCTTAAAGGCAAAGTGATGCAGGTTGCAGGGAGCCAAATCTAGCAAGTAGGACATGCAGTGGTAAGCAATGGTTATATTGGTGTCTACTGCCTTTTCGGTGTCCTGTGAAAAAGACACACAATGCAAAGCTGGCACAAGCCATAGTTAATATCCTTTGCACCAAGTGTTCCTCCTATGATGCCTCAGGACATTCCAGTCAAACGGAGTTGATAGTATTTACTGTTCGCAGTCCTATGAATGTCAAAAAAGGATGAGCTTGCTACTGGCCACAGTCCTGACCTGATGCATGCCTTAGGGCTTAGGTGCTGTGGCCTTTTCCACTGTTCTTATCACTAGTGATGATCTTTGACATTAGTGTCTGAGGAGTTTTACACAGATGTTGCCCAAGTTTGAGGTCAGTGGTGAAATTGCAAATACTCACAAACAAGTGCTCAGAACTAAACTTCTAAGGATCTAAAGGCTGTAAGGGGAGATTGGTCAAACAGAGTCGATACGTTATTCTGAAATATGAAACTCTGAAATAAACTCATGGAAAAAAAATTGAAAGAGATGACCCTGTTCTTTGCCAGTCAGTAGTGACAGTAAAATGGTCTAAGGACACTGTAGTTCGATACATCATAGACAAGCTTGCCACCTCATGACTGAGTGCCTTTCCCTCTCTTGAGATTTTCGAACAAGGCCATGTTTCTGATGCTTCACAAGCTTGACAAACACATTAGAGAGGTGGAGAAAGAAGATTCTAATGTAATCATACCCCACATCAATACAAAAGGCTTAGTGTTAACACAGCAACAGGAGCACCTTGAGCTCCCTCTGTCTAGAAACAGGAGGTACTCAGGTGCAGTATTGAGGTGTAGGTTGAACCACACAATCACTGTACTTTAATGCTTACAATGCAGGGAAATAGAATGTATTAAAAAGAGAGCTTTAGGTCATGGCTATGACAGTGCAGTAAAAGTAAAACATAATTCCTCTTACCACCAAGTAAAAGCCGTACAAGATGGCATTACTCAAGTGCCTCAAAATTACGCTAGTAGATGATAAACGAATCCAGCAATTGATGTTTGTATAGTAACATAAATAAGTAGTAAAATATTTGGATATAGAATATCTGGAGCAGGGTTAAAGGTACTATTTTGAATATCATTGTTTTGGGTGGGGCTCCGAAATTTGGTTGTATTTGGTAGCAGCAAATATTTAAGGCTTCAAGTGAACGATCGAATATTAGGCCATTGCACTATATTGTAAACTGTGCCTATTTTACTGCAGAGCTCTAATGATCTATACCTCAAACCAAGGTTCCCAACTGGAGCACAGTGGTACTTTGTACACTGTACTGACTGTAAACGTGTGCTGCTAATCACACTAACCTGCACCCCTCTGTACAATGATTACAGGAAACCCTGGAAGAAAGATGCCACTGGCATTTCAGCACTAGTGGAAGGTTACATTTTGAAGGGAACTCCAGCTCTAACACTTGTCCACTCTCAGTATGGTCTCCCTTGCAGCCTCTGTGCTGTGCAAGTTTCACAATCCATTTCTAATTTTCTGTACTTTGAACGCTTTTTCTACTGTATGGAAGACAACAGGGCTCCATTGCCTGTGGCTGTGATTGAGCCAAGGCTCATGGGCTTTTTGTCTTTTGCTGCACTTCAGGGTTAAAGCATTCATCTGTGGATATGTAATCCTTTGCTTTCCTCGATAGCTTTAAATAGGGGGTTTAAACACTCCTTTATAGAGTGCTGACACTAAATAAAACCTTTTAAACAAATAATTACATTCAAACTAGGCTGACACTCACTACTCACTCAGTCATCATGCTGCAATCCTTCTAACTATATATATATTTTAAAAGAAAATTGTCAGTATTAGATAAATCGTATCTAGCTAGAAGAGAGTTTTAGAGAGAGTTTTATTAATTTCATACTAAACTCTTAAAAATGAAACTAAAATAAGGAAACTGGACTGTCTAATTTTGGACTTTGTAAAGTTATTTTAGTCTCCATTTATTAAATGTTGAGTTTTAGGGTGCTTTACAGTCAGTTTGTAGGCTGCACGCATCTTTCCAGGAAGGGGAGGAAATCATATATTACACATTTCAAAAGCTATTATTTTTTTATTAGCTGTCAGGAATCTTTAGCTAAGCGATGATTGAATTTGGAATCAATTCTCATTTATTCATGATCAGTAAATACAAACATGGCCACTATGTCTTTCACTTTCTCCCAAAATACTAAATCCATTTTTTTTTTTTTGTCCACTGCAATGAAAATGAAACAACTCACTGTCAGGCTAACTGGTTTTACTGATGGGAGAAGAGCTGAAAAAAAATCTCTGGAAACTTAACTGCATTAATTCAGAAGGATTTTAATCTTCCTGCATGATAATTATATAGTATATAGTATTTGTATTTGTATTCTATTTTTATCTTATTGTATATTTATTTTATGTTATTCTACTGTATATAGTATTTTATTCTATTCTGTACAGTTGTGTACTGTATTTATTCTTATTGTATTCTAATTTTTGCCTCATAACTTTTGCACTGTCCACTTCCTGCTGTGACAAAACAAATTTCCCACGTGTGGGACTAATAAAGGTTATCTTATCTTATCTTATCTAATTATGATTGACCTTAATTTACTGGAACTGTGAGCCACTATGTTATTGCTAATTGTTTAAGCCACTCTGCTGTGATGGTGTTACAGGAAATTGTTTAGAAAAAATGCTTTTTTTCCAAGCCTTTGTTGAAGATGAGCTGCAAACTGTGGCATGAGCTCGCTATATGCTGTTCTGTTTCTGCACTGGGATTCTCAAGGGAAGTTTTTACTTTCTTTCCATTCAGCACTGTTATTACAAAAATCTTTCTTTTTCATTAGTATTGATTAAAATTCATAGTTCTTCTTTTCCCTGTACTATTACTAAGATAAGATTCTTAACAATCCCCCACAATGTAGCAGAATTACAATCACGTTTCCGTAGTATGTAGGGTCTGATCAGGTCAGCTTTTAATTGCAGTCTTAACAGATTTTCTTTCCTCACTTCTAAAGGAGACAAAGAGAGACAACCAAGCTGATAATGAAAAGTAAAGTGATCCAAATGGTTTAATCATCCAATTTGATGCGATGATTGTGACATGAAGTGATTAATAATATCAGCTGACAGTGAAACAAATCCCTGCTAACCCTAACCCACAGTAGGAAGAACATTCAGTATTTTGCCTTTTTGTTTCCATTGTTGTTATCTTTTAGTGCAAGAGGGAGCCTTGTAATATACACATTACTTTGATGTATTAAATTATGTTATTTAATAGCAGAGATTAATCAGATATTTAGATAAAGAAATCATATAAATACTTTCTTTGTGACTTTATGTCAAAATGGTCATAACAGTGAGGGATACTTCACACAGTGATTTCATGATTCTTATATTTTTTGAGTGGTGAGTGAAGCAGCCTGAAACACTATAATGTAAAGCAGATGGAAGATAACAACTGTGTTGCTCGATTGTGATGTTGTAAACACAAATTGCATCCAAATGTACAATCATTTTTTCCATTATTAAACAGTATTTGTAGCTTGGCTGCTGGAATCATGTTTGGTGTTCTTCCTTAAGCACATTTGAAAATGCCACAGGCTCAGTAATCACTCTGCTGGTACAAAAAAGGAAATGTGTGTTTTGGTTTGAACATGCTTGAACATCATGTTCCTTTGATATAATGATTACATCCCCAATAGACTTGGTGCTTCGTCTTCATTGTATTTAACTATCCAGCATTTTGTCTGCGAGAGAAAAGCCAGCAGACGCAGAGATGGAGGCTCCCACAATAAGTAAAAAAAGAAGATACTGAAATGGATATGGGCCATTTAGTTCAGTCAGAGGCATTCAGGGATGAAAAATCTATTGAAGGACACAGAACTGAAAGGGAGGTCTTGTGAAAGGACATGAAGGCCAGCCGTAGATTGCTGTACTCACATCCTTATAGCACAGTCCCCTGAGCAAGTATTTACGCCCTCTCTGATCTTTTAGGTTTTTGCACATTTCTCACACTTAATTGTTTCAGATCATCAATCAAACCTGATTATAAGAAGAAGACAACTCAAGTACAAAATTCAGTTTTCAAAAAAAAGTTATCCAAACCTTTCTGGTTCTGTGTGAAAAAGTAATTCGATCCTCTGCTAAAATCTTGAATTAATTGTGATCAATCACATATTTTCGAAAGCTGAATTGAGTTTAACTAGACACACCCAGGACTGATTAGTGAACCTGCCTGACAAAGTGAAATCAGCTGAAAGATATTAAAAAGCAACACTTCATGATTCCATCTAAAGACTGCTTTGATTGACATTCATGAGTCTGGAAAGGGTTAAAAATAAATTTCTAAGATTTTGCGGCTCCAGCGAACTATGGTGATCGGTGTTCAGAAATGGAGAAAACTTGGAACATTGGTAGCCAGTCTATTAGAACTACTCCAAGAGCACATTAATGGCTCATCCTGGAGGTCACATATGAACCTAGAATACAATCTGAAGAACTGCTGGGCTCACTTGCCTCAGTTAAGGTCAGAGTTCATGGTTCAGCAGTGGCATCTGTGAGAGAGTTCCAAGAAGAGAAAACCACTGCTGATCAATGGGATCATCTCACATTAACCTAAGAAACACGTTAATGATCCCCAAAGTCTGTAGACTGGTGAGACAAAAGTAGAACCTTTTTGAAGGTTTCTGTCTTGTTATATCTGGCGTCTAACTAACCCAACATTTCATACAAAGAGCATCATACCAACAGTCAAACATAGTGTTGGTATGATAGGGAAGCATGAATTCTGCTCCAGAGAAAGTCCAGTTATCTGTTCATGCCTGAAAAGCAAAATTAGGTTATCCAACAAGGCAATGACCCAAAATACACCAGCTAGTCCACTTCTGAATGGCTCAAAACAAATACGTTTTTGAAGTGGCCTAGTCAGTTTAAATCTAGGTTTTAAATTGTGTTAAGATACTTTGAAAAAATCTTAAACAGGCCAGTCATGTTTGAAAAAACGTGCAATTTCGCTGAAATAAAACAGTTCTTTAAAGAAGAGAGGGCCATAATGACTCCACAGCGATGTGAAAGACTCATTGTCTTTCACATCGCAGTTCTTGTTACTAGGGTTAGTGCAACCACTTACTAGGTTTAAGGGGCAATTACTTTTTCACATAGGGTCATGTAAGCTTGGATAACCTTTTTAATAACTTAATAAATGAAATCATGAACTCAAAGTGTGTTTAATAACAGAAACCTAAATTAGATCCATATAAACTGTCAATTCTTGTCAGCTGAGTTCTTTAACATTACAACTTTTTCAATTAATTAATTTTGACTAGGAGGTTTTATTTATTTTTTTATACTTCTCTGATTGAGACCCAGGATAGATGCATTGTCAGTACAAAATTCAGATTTAAAACTAAATAGAATTATGTGGATTTTCAATAACACTGGTAGTAATTTTACTACCAGGAACAACAAACTCTTACAGGGATGGCTCTTATGCATTTTGTTTTCTGAAGATTATACTGTGTTAATGTTTTTTCGTGAACTGTGTTACATTATTCATCAGGATTGTGTCAGCTGCTGTCAATGCAATCCTTTGCATTGGTTCTAAAAACCTGATGAGAGCGTGTTTAGAGACCACGGCAGCATGGATCAGACAGGATTCGTTAAGATCACAGCTAATCTGGGTGGAAAAGACCACGGTCCACAGTGACAGGGAGTGTGAACATTCTGACTCCCCCTGCCAAGCTTAGACACACACAAATGCACAGAAAAACATGACTACATGTTTGCATTTGGGATTCTAACACCAATACATGAAACCATTGAACAACATTTTTTTTGGTTGCTCATTTTGAGCATCTGTCATAATCTGCTTTTGATAATGACAAATATTCACAGTTTCGTCCAGATTTGCATTTACATCCACCGGGAAAAGTAAAACATGTAAAGAAACACAAAACAAGTTACTCAAAAAACATTTTTTTCATGTATCACAACGTGACTACATACAGTACTGTGGAAAAATCCTAAAACATGTCTCATTTATTTTTTCTTTGTTAGTTAAATTTCAAATAGATGCACTGATTTATTAAAAATATGCAAACATACATGGAAATACTGTTTATAAGGCAAACACAAAGTTTGTATAATTCCAGTGTCACTATTTGACATGACCACCTGAACCTGAACTCTTTGAAGAGCTTTCTTGACCGTCACATTGTCCAGGTATGCTATTATTACATTGGCAATGTGCTTGGGATCGTTATCGTACATAAGAAATGAAGCAGTTGTCAGTCAGATGCTTTCCAGATACTATCGCAAGGTAGCTTTTTTATGTTTGTAATACATAAAAATGCAGCTCCAAACCATGACAGAGCCTCCACTCCACTCTGTTTTAAAGATGGCTGTTGTGCTGCGAATTTCAGATTTGGCTTCATCAGTCCATAATCTCTGTTTTTTCCCAGTCCTGTTCTTGTGTAATGTGGCATACCTCCTTAAGAGTGACTTCTTGACAGCCACCCTTCCACTGAGAATCATTTCTGATGAGTCTTCAGTGAACATTAGATAGATCAGTTGAAGGATCAAATGCATCTCTCAGGTCCTGTCAGTTCTTTGCGTGATTTCTTTCCTATTTCTTAAGAATATGACTTTCAGACGGTTATCTGTTGTAAATTGTTTTTAGGCCTTTTTCGACCTCCACTCATCCATTTTCCTCAATTATTATAGGAACACATTGTACAACATGCTGAGTTTCCAACTAATATTTCTTTGGGAATCACCTTGTTGTTACCAAACCACTAATAAAGTGACTTAAAATAGTTTTTTTGTTAGGTTTTCTGTAATGTGTAGATGTAAAATTGGTTCATCCCTTGAGTTAGATCCCTTTTTATGCTTGAATGATTCATAGGTCAGTGTGAATCAGTCATTAAGAAAAACCCTGAAAAAGTATGGATCCTTGGAAGCAAAAAATAAAGAAGATTCAAGACTTTTGCACAGTGTATGTATAACATTTGTTAAGCAAACTGTAAAGACAGCACTGTGTTATTTTGTTTCACAGATTATTATTTCTGCACATTTCATAAACATAATGTGGAAATAAATTAAATCCTTCAAAAAAGTCCCGCAATACAGAAAAAAAGCTCCATAAAACTTTGAAGACCAAAGATCGGTATCGCAGTATCAGTCTTACTGTGATGTATTTGTATTTGTTCTAAATATACTCCCACTGCAGACAGACTGCAGTAGGAAGACACAAGCTGGGAGTGATAACTGGGAAATACTTTATGTGCATCCACACAAATATAATCACAGATATAACCTGTTAAAATATCCATGCAGTGAAGTCATATCAGCTTTAA